TTTCTCATGATGTACTCTGCATATAAGTTAAATAAGCAGGGTGACAATATACAGCCTTGACGTACTCCTTTTCCTATTTGGAACCAGTCTGTTGTTCCATGTCCATTTCTAACTGTTGCTTCCTGACCTGCATACAGGTTTCTCAAGAGGCAGGTTAGGTGGTCTGGTATTCCCATCTCTTTCAGAATTTTAAAATGTTCAAAAGAGGCAGTTCAAAATCTTTTGTCTTTTTGTTCAAAAAATTTTGTCTGTGTTCAAAATCTATAGACAGTAGATCAGTGCTTGCCTAGGGCTCGTGGTGGTGGGGGTGGTGGGGAGGGCAGGAGGCGGGTGCTGGAGAATGACTGCTGACAGGTGTGGGGCTTCTTTGGGAAGGGTGGAGACGTTCTAAAATTATGGCGATGGTGGCGGAATTCTAGAATCACTAGAGACCATGACTGGTGCACTTTAAATGGGTGAGCCTTGTACCTTATGTCCCAGTACAGCTGTTACACAGTGTAATTCACCGTGCTGTCTTCCCACTCAGCCCACTTCACTTCCCACGTTGTGCGTTCTTTCTCCTGAGCGTGGGATTACGCCCTGGCTCCCAAGAAGAGCAGGACGAGCTACCTGCCCTCCATGGGCCGCCTCGCTGCCACCCCACGTTTCTCCTTTCTTCCCAGCCAAGACTGCTGAATGTTAGAAGATAGGTAATTTAGAAATTGTAAATTGTAGAAGAGTCAGATATGAATGGATAAGCAGGAAGAAGAAATATTTTGGACATTTAACCAAGACTGCTAAATGTTAGAAGATAGGTAATTTAGAAATTGTAAATTGTAGAAGAGTCAGATATGAATGGATAAGCAGGAAGAAGAAATATTTTGGACATTTAACCTCACTGCCCAGAGATAATCATTATTCATGTCTTATATAATTTTAGCATTCATTTAAAAAGTTGACACCTTCCGTTTTTGTTTTCACAGAGCGCTGTTATAAGGGAAAGCTTATGTTAAGTTACTCTACTAAGATTATTGTTTAGTTGCTGACTTGTGTCCAACTCTTTTGCAACCCCATGGACTGTGGCCTGCAAGGCTCCTCTACCCGAGGGATTTCTCAGGCACGAATACTGGAGTGGGTTGTCATTTCCTGCTCTAGGGAATATTCCTGACTCAGAGATTGAACCCACGCCTCTTGCCTTGGCAGGTGGATTCTTTACCACTGAGCTACCTGGGAAGTCCAAAGTTAGTGTATAACAGGTCAAAGTAACCTATACTAAGATAGAACGTTGTAATTTTTTTAAGAATAAAAATACCTGAATCTTCTGTATTACTAAGTATGATAGGTTTTTATGCATGGCTTTTTTTTTTTAACTTTTTAGAATTGTCTAAATAAAATTTGGGGTCAGGAAAACCTAATGCTTTGGGAGGTTTATGCTCATTAGCTTGTGAATGGAATACATACAGTCTCGCTGCATTTTAGGCCACACTTGTTATGTGGCTTTTGCTTAAGCCGCAGCCCAATATCACAAGAGGATTTCAGTCTTAAATATTTTAGAGTGCGTTAAAGCCCCATGCCCTGTGAAATAAGAATTTCATGGGTTCCCTTCAGCCCCTGTGGACTGTTCAGAATGTCTGGCTGACGTTGGTTGTGAATTAGGATGTCAGCTGGTAAGATAGATTCCCAGCGTGAAAAAGTCCATTGAGCTAATTTCACTCATCTTTTCTCCCCTTTGCCCGTGTGCAGAATTAGACTGGCTGAGCAACCCAAGCTTTTGTGTTGGAACCATAACATCTCTGAGCCAACGAACTGAAGAGGCCACCAAAGCCCCAGTTTCTGAAGGGTCACCACTGACGAGGTAGATTTTGTTTGTTTTAATGATTGTATTTATTCCTGTTTTACTTTTGGCTGTGCTGGGTCTTCATTACTGCTCAGGCCTTTCTGTAGTTGCGGAGGGCAGGATCCCCTCTAGGGACGGTGTCCCGCTGCTCACTGCACTGGCTTCTCTGGCTGTGGAGCAGCGGCTGTCGGCCCATGGGCTCTGGAGCGTGGGCTCAGGAGTTGCATCTCCGGGGGTCTGGAGCGTGGGCTCGGGAGTTGTGTCTCTGGGGGTCTGGAGCGTGGATTCGGGAGTTGGGTCTCTGGGGCTCGGGAGCATGGGTTCGGGAGTGGTTCTCCAGAGCTCTGGAGCGTGGGCTCGGGAGTTGCGTCTCCGGGGCTCTGGAGCGTGGGCTCGGGAGTTGCGTCTCCGGGGCTCTGGAGCGTGGGCTCGGGAGTTGTGGCACATGGGCTTTAGTTGCTCCCTGGCAGTGAGATCTTTGCTGATGAACCAGCAATTGAACCCATGTCTCCTGCATCGGCGGGCAGATTCTTTACCACTAAGCCATCAGGGAAGCCCACGATAGTTTTTTGATAGGCGGATTTTTAGTCTTTGTCAGCATACCACCTATAGCTTAGCTTGAATAGTGACGCTTAGAAAACCTTGTGATGAAAGAGTTAAGTAAAAACTCTTTGTTTTACGAAACGTAATGGGGTGATCTTTGACTGTTTTCCCTTACCTCACTCTTTACAGATCATCCTTTTTTTTTCCCCCTTTGCATTGCAGTGGCAAGTACATGACACAGTTACTGCCAATAATTAGGCCATGAGGGAAATGGCATCATTGTGATTCTTAAGTAACTTTATTAACCTCATTAGTCACCTTTAGAATATTGTAATTCAGATATTTCTTTAGTTGCATAAAGATGGAAGTTACATGCAAAAATAGGTTTTGTAATAACATAGGGTAAAAATCTTATGAAAACTTTGGGGAAATCAAAGGCACACATCTCTACCCAGCTTTGGCAGAATTTTGTTACAGATCACTGGACTGAGAGATGCGCTCCCTCACAAATATAGACCAAATGGTCTCATTAGTGTGATGTAACCCAGAAGTGTGGGAAGCCCAGAAACTGGGACTAGTTCATGCATGAGAGGGAGTAATGAGAAGGAGCTCATTCTAACTTTGGAAACCAAGGACCAACTTCAAACCCATTTGCTTTTTCTTTTTGGCATTAAGAACATCCTGGCATAATATATAGGACCGAAAATAAACCTTTTGTAGATTTTTTAAGATACTGTATTTGATAACTGGTAGATTAAGAATGTATACCTATGAAAATATAGGTTTAGAAGCCATGAAGATTAGAATCTCTTCAGCCAATGTTATTTTAGGTCCAACTCTTAAATCTTGAAGGTAAATTTATAAGCCAACTTTTAAATCTCCAAGGTAAGTATAAGCCAGGAGGGTACTGTATAATGTATGAGCAAATAGTAAGCCTGAGTGGATGTTTATAGAGAATTGCCTTTTGCATGTTTGTTTACTTGCATATTATTTCCCTAATTCTCTTTTGAAAATAATTCTAATGTTGACCTTCCCAAACAGGAGTCCTGTAAAATCAGAGCCTTCAGATGAAAGCGACAGTAACAGAAAGCCCAAAGAAGCAGGCAGGAAAAAGAAGAAAGAGAAAAAGAAGAGAAGGCAGCATGAGCACCACAGGGAAGCCAGGAGCAGGCGCGGGCGCTCGGGCAGCCGTGAGTCTGAGCCAGGCGCCGGTTCTGAAAGGGACCGACCTCCCGGAGGCGTCAGAGCCAATAAAGGGGAGTCAGAGAAACTGAAGTAGGTTTTCTGTTCCCAGATGTTTATGGTTTGCCAAATCTTGGGTTTTCCTCCCTTCCTCGTTGCCACAAGTGAGACATTTGAATGGTGATTTAGCCACTCAATCAAAATGGAGTGAATACATACTCAGTAAAACTGGGGGAAGAAAGAAACAAAACAGAAAGAGCTGTGTCACTAGGTCAGTGAAAGAAAGGAAAAGAAAAAAGAAAACTTTCATTAAAAAAATAGGGCCATGATTTTATTTGAGAAATGTTACCTGGGTGCAGCAATGATTGTGTCAAAATCTGATTCAGACAAAAAGCCTACAGGATTTTTGAAAGATGACAGATAGGCCTCACAGTGGGCATGTGGGCCAGCTGACTGCTTGGTTTTACACTTTTGTGAAGAGTAGGAAACTTGTCTTAGCTTCCTCTTTCTCGATACATCTTTCTTTCAGTCACTCACGTCAGAACGCCCGTCTGCAGACACAGGACAGACCCGTGGTTGCCACGTGGGTGGTGAAGGCAGGGATGGACGGGGAGGGGGTTGGCGATGGGAGCTGTCATGTTGGGGGGGACACGCAGCGGGGCCCCGCTGCACCGCCCCGGGAGCCGTTCAGTGTCCGAGAGAGACCATCACGGGAAGGAGTGTAAGAACAGAACCCCGTGTGTATTCCAGACATGCTCTCTCTCTGTCTGGCTGTGGTCGACAGAGCCCTGAAAATAATTGCGTTTGTCCTTCTCACGTTTGTTTACAGCCGCTGTGCTGAAGGTGTGGAGTGGCTCCTGACCGCAGCACTTCCTCCCCTTGGGGCCCCCGCCTTTCTCCCCGTGTCTCCCCTGACCACAGTGGCCGAGGCGCGCTGCAGATCAGCCCGTCATAGCTTTTCCTCTCCCCTTAGTCTAACGTCCCCCTGCACCAGGGGCACTTTGCCCACACATGAGACAGGTGGTATGTGGTGAAACTACTTGACTTATTCCTCATTTACCTTGTTTTTTCTTCTCTTTGTTCGTGTGGTCTAGATGAGGGAAAATTTTAAGTCCTACCCAAGGCATACTTAAACAAATGTAGTGCTGTTAAGGTTTTTGCAACTCCTCAGGGATTATCTGTTCTTGCTGTGTGCTTAGGAGTTCCCGTGATGTCAGTGAGCTCCAGTTGGAGCGCGTCTGGAGTCGGGCCTGTGGTCTCCATCAGAGACACAGACACCGTGCCTCCCAGGGTCCTCCGTCATCAAAGCCGAGTTGAAGAGTGCTGCGGGCCTCAGGGCTCAGAGGGTCCGCATTTCTTTAGCCCACTCTGTCTCTCAGGTGCTGCACCTGTGACCCTAGAGAGGGAGAGATAAAGGAGTCCAGCAGTGAGGTTCCAAATCGGGCTGGATTTCTGGGGGCAGGAGGGCTTCCCTGGGGGCTCAGTGGTTAAGAATCTGCCCACAGTGCAGGAGAGGCAGGTTTGGTCCCTGGTCAGGAAGATCCCCTGGAGAAGGGAATGGCAGCCCACTCCAGTATTCTTGCCTGGAGAATCCCATGGACGGAGGAGCCTGGCGGGCGGCTGTCCATGGGTTTGCAGAGTCGGACACGACTGAGCGACTCAGCGACAGCAGCGTGTGGACAGAAACCACTCCCGCCTGGCTCACCATCGAGCCCCCGGCAGTTGGCACAGGGCCTGATGCGTAGTAAACGCTCAAGTACGTTTTTGTTAGTGTGAATGAGTGAGTGAACAGATCACTGATGCTCTTGCTTTTTAGTATGTCTTCAAAGCAAAATACATGAGTTGCTGTGTGTTCCAAACACTCATCTTTAACTATTTGTCTTTTTTTTTTTTTATTTATATGACTGAGGAAAATGAGTTTTAAAGGATTTTCTGAAACTGTACAGAAGCAATCATAAGAAATTTGAAAGATAGTTATTTTCAGCCTGTGCCTAACCACATCAGAAGTGATCTTTACAGTCTCTTGGCAGCTATATGATCCAGACAGCGTTTTTGAGTCTGTTGGTATTTTGTAGAACGGCCGCATGAAGGTCAGAGCGGGCTGTCCTTGTCTTTTTCGTTCTTACTACTCACTTGTGCAGTCTCTTCCTGGGAAGGCGACCAGGAAGAGGTCTTATTTCCATTTAGACAAGGGGCTAAGACATTAGTGAGTCGTGAGTGTCTCCTGTGAGGTCAGGAAAGCGGCTTGGGGGCCGTTGAGGGGCGTGTGTACTATGTGGGACTCTGAGTCCAGGGACAGCCTCCCACAGCTGCTGATGACCTCTGTGTCCTAGGGTGAGCTCCTCTTCACTTCCAGGTGGTGGCACTTCCTTACGTGTGCACAGCCCAGACTGCATCCTGCTTCCTGACTGTGGGACCCAGTAGGGGAGGCGTGAAGGGCTCGCTGCTCCCCAGGCGTGGTCTGCAGCCAGCCCTTCCCACCCCCAGCTGGCTTTCCATCTCTTTCCGGAATGCATCGGTCTCTTTCTATCCCTTTTGCTGCTGATTTTGGCTTTTGGCTTCAGAAAACCCTCCACAGTTGTTCTGGAGGGGCGTGAGTTAAACCTCACCATGTATTTTAACCCAAGATGCATCATCCTGCAAATATTTATTGAGTAGCTACTTTGCATCCCTGGAATACCATGCCCTCGCGTTCCCAGCCAGGAATGGTTTAGAAGCCTGGAGAATCTTGATTTCTATCTGGGTGAAGCCAAAAGGCAAAGATGGAACAACACTTCATGGCTGTTGTGACTCCTTTGGCAACCTCTTTTGTCAGGAGCATTATGAATGATTTTCTTTAGAGGAAGAAAGATGTTAGATGCCAGAAAAACCTTTCCCCTCCTCTTAGTTGACTCCTAGGGAACTGGTTCTTTTTGTGCCTGAGCTGAAAGTCTACCATGTCACAGATTGGTTCAAAGTGATAAATAAGGGTCCTGTTTTACAGTGGACTCTCTGCCCTTTCGGTCGAGGTCCGTGTGTAGGCAGAACGCCCTGCATAGAGCCCAGACTGTAAAAAGGAGCCTGGGACCACGTCTTGGCAATACTGGAGACGGAAGCACTCGGAGCTGCGGCTTTGTTTTGTTGTTAAGTTTTGAGTTGAAATCAATTATCTGAGCACTTTCAAATAAATCAGGCAAAGTAAGGGCAGCCTTATTTTCCCTCCTTCATTTATTCCTTTCTTTCTTTTTCTTCCTTTCAAGAAGAAACCTTGTGTGTAAATATGTTTGAAAGTCAAGTGATGATCATTTAAATGAATTATTACTGTTATTTTTTAAAGACACCTGTATCTTTCATGTTTATTTTTGGGATCAGTTGACTTCTCTTTTTGGTAAAGTGTCACTTAAGACAGTCTTCGCTTTGTACTTTAACGCGCTCTCCAGAGCAGGAGCCCGGCCCCGTCTTTTTGGCAGGCACATATTGTCTGCAGGAGGTGTGCGTGAGGCCGTAAGGGCTCTGACGTGTTCCACGTTCACGCTTCTGAGATGTGAAGTATGTAACTGGGGGGTTTCTAAATGCCGCTCCCTTTTCCTTCTTCACCCTCCTCTGTCCCACAGTCAAGGAAATAATGCCGCCGCAGACACCGGACGTCACTGTGTTTGGCTTGAGGACATCCAGGCTCTGACGGGAGAGACCTTCCGAATGGATAGGAAACCGGATCCTGCCAACTGGGAATATAAGTCTCTTTACCGAGGAGATATTGCGAGGTGTGTGTCTCGACGTGTTTCTCTGGTCGTCACTGGTGGGAGGGGACTTCTGTCTGCTGTGAGCTCTCAGCACTGTGTCTGTGTCCCCCCCGACTCCCCCCCGCTGACTGTTGAGCTTTATCCACTGTTCACTTGTTTAGGCATACACAGTAGAAGGTGAGTAATCTCACACTGTAAAATAAAAGTTTAAACCTGGAGATCAGGATCCAGGTTGGATTAATCTTATTCAGCCATGGTACTTGGCGTAGTGTGTGGCACAGTAGGTGTTCAATGGATATTTGTAGATTGAATGGGTCTAAAAATACCTTGAACCGATTGTGACTATCCATAAATCATTTGGTTTAATCTATATGCCTTGCTTAAAAGTTACAAAAGCCTTTTATTTATCCAAACCACCCCCCACGCATGCCATTTTAAAAAATGACATTAAATGATAGTGACTTGTTCAAAACGTTTCTAGCATATGTCACCAGATAATCATAAAAACAGGTGATGGTATCTGCTTCAGTAATGAGTTTAAGCTTTTTTCTCTATCATATATTAACGCATATATGTAGAATCAAGAAAAAGTAGTATAGATGATCTTATTTGCAAAGCAGAAACAGAGGGACAGCGGTAGAGAGCAGACATACGGACCCCACGGGGCAGGGGGTGTGTGGGGGAGGACGCGGGGGGGACTGACGCGTGCACACCGCCGGGGCCGAGTCTGAAGCAGACCGCTGCCCCGCACAGACAGCCCTCCTCAGCGCCCTGCTGGCCTCAGCGGGAGCGGTCAGCAAAGGATGGCCTCTGCGGGTGCAGCTGGCTCACCGTTGCGGCAGAAGCCAGCGCCGCGCGGGAGGGGAGCTCTCCGCCCGTGGAAAGGGGCTCTTTCAGAGGAGCAGCTTCTCTCCTCTCATCTGTCAGTCAGAAACAGCTGAATCCTCAGTACACTCTTCAGACGCTTGGTACTTTGTAGGACATAGTGAACAATAATACTCAGTCCCTTGCTCCCAAACAGCCAGGAGGTAGTGAAAACTGAAGGTAGAGAATCATGGGATATATGGCCAAGAGGAGGCCTTGAAGTTGGTGATCATTCTTCATGGGCTGATTACCTTTTTTTTTTTTTTTTTAATTACCTTTTAAAGTAAATTTTGGCTCCCATCCCTTTGGCGCCCCTCCGCCTTTTAATTAGGGTGTCACTCCGCGTGACATTGTAGCTCACCACGTAAGCAACTCCAGCGATAATTCCTTTCATGATGAGCTGACATCAGTTATTTTTTGGTGCATGTTTGTGTCTGCATACGGTCTCCTGAAGCCTCGTGGCGGGGTTAATGACCCTCATGTTTATAGTGTGTGTATTTTGGAATGATACCAGTGCTCCCTGAAGCCCTCCTTGGTCTTTCCTGCCACAGCAAGGGGAGACCCTATGAACGCTGGCAGGGCACGGAGGGGGCAGCGCCAGCCTGTGCTTTTCTGCTGCTGGAGTCAGCCTGCCGGCTCCCAGCTGCTCCAGGAGGAGGCTCTCTGACCTTACCCAGCCAGGAGAGGAATCTCAGGGACGCAGATACCTTCGGAAGGTCATGCACCAGGAAGTAAGAGGGTTGGGATTCACGCCTGTACTTCTCTGATGCTCTCCCACCATCCCCAAGGAAGAGACAGGTTCTGTGGTTGGACATTTTCTAGGTTGGGAAACAGAAGATGCTGGTTCTCCTTCTGACTTTGCCAGTGGCTAGTACCATATCCCAGGGGTCCCCAGCCCCCGGGTCGGCCCTGTGCCCTGTGGGGAACCCCGCCACACAGCCAGAGGTGGGGGGCGAGTGAGCACAGCGTCACCTGCTCCTCAGTGCTGACCCACCCCTCCCGTTACTGGAAAAGAAGTCTTCCAGGAGACAGGTCCCTGGTGCCAAAAAGGGACCGCTGACTTAACCTTTCTGAGCCCCTGTATCTTCATTTGTAAACTGGAAATTGTAATTCCTACTGTGCCTCACACTCAAATATCAGAAATATTTGATAAGGAATTAGAAATTGGTGTGCAAAGATAAAGGCTTACTGCCTCGTACTAGATTAAAAAAAGGAAGCAATATTAACAGAGAGTGGCTTCTGAACCTCTGCTGGTGAGTGGCCCAGAGCTGAAGAAGAGAGTGATTAGAGACAACTTGATTCATCTAAACCGCAAAGAGACTGCTGCAGAGGGTGTAGGACATCGGTGAGACCCCGTAGTAATTCGCTAAAGCTCAAGTCAGGTAAAGTCTTGCCCAGAGTAACAGCTGGCAGCTGTTAGCGCCCCGCTCTGTGAAGGTGGCGGTCCCGTGGCACGCCGAGCTGGTCAGGACGGTGGGGACACGGTGTCAGGCCCTGAATTTTCACACTTGAGAGAGTTCCTGACAAACTGCGAGCTTTGACAAGACAGTGAGCAGACACGTGGCTACGACCGTCACGTGAGGACTGGGTGAGGGCTGTGGGTACCAGCCTGTGTCAGGGACACGGTCTTCGTCTGGTAGGCTTTGCTGCACTTGGGAAGGTGGGTTGGCAGAGTCCTGTGTAACTTGGGAAGTGGCACCAGGACCAGTGAGTGGAAGTTTGGCTCGGCATAAAAGCAGATCTAAGAGTGTGAGCATCCCAGCAATGGTGTGCAGTGTGTTGAAGCATTGTGGTAAACAGGGGTCAGGTTCTAAAGTTAGTGTGGAACGGGTCCAAGTTACCTTTGGAAAGTTCCCTAGGACCAATGCACTGTCAGTGAAGTTCAGCTTTTATTTTTTTTTTTTTGCCATTCTTGGAAGAGTTTATTTTTTCTTTGGCTATCCACCAGCTGAAATAGTTGTCTCTTGTTTAGGAGCCAAGTTGCATGAAATAATAATGATAATTTAAACTCATCTAGTCCTTACTGTATGGCTTAGCCCTTTACATATATAGACTTTTTTGATCATCCTAGCAATTCTGCGACATAAATTACTGTTATGGTCACCGTTTTACAGACGAGGAAACTGAGGCAAACAAACAAACAGTTTGTTTTTTAAAACTCGATTACGGTCACCCAGCTTAGTAAGTGAAGGAGCTGGAATTTGGACCAAGGCGGTCAAGACTCTGAGAAGGCCTGTGTGAATTGAATTCGCCAAAGGAAAGGCAGATTTGTGTTGCCCAGCCGAGCTCACTCCGGGACCCAGACCTGCTGAGTGGACTCGGCAGAATTGGGCACTTGATTTAAACACATTCACTTCCCAAGCCCTTGTCCTCTCTTGTTTCCTCTTTTCATTCCTCTCTCTCTCTTTTTTCTCCTGGTGACTAAATGCCTAATGTGTGTGCTCAGTTGCTAGTCGTGACCGACTCTTTTGCAACCCTATGGACTGTAACTTAGCAGGCTCCTCTGTCCCTGGGGTTTTCCAGGCAGGAGTGCTGGGGTGGGCGGCCATGCCCTCCTCCAGGGAGCCGTCCCGACCCAGGGACGGAGCCCGCGCCTCTTGCCTCTCCTGCACTGGCAGGTGGACTCTCTGCCACTCGGGCCATCGGAGAGCCCCGAGTGCCTGTGTCTGGTTTTGTAACAGGTACATTTGACATCGTTCACCAAACCTCCAGGCAAAATGCGTGTCCCTGCCTCTGGGGTTATTCAGCTGAAGACTAGCTGATTACTTAATAAGGATTTTATAGGAAAAGTGCCTTTGTTTGGGGGAACTATTGCATTAAATTACATCCCAGGCCCGGTCCAGTAATTTAGATCTTATGATAAGTGATAAATTGGGTAGAACCTAAATGTACAACAACAGAGAAATGGTTAAATAAATTATGGGACACTTCTAGTGAGCCAGTTTGAAGTCAATAAAAATGGTTGTTTTCTGAAACTAGTGCTATGAAGAAATGCTTAAAAGTCGGGAGAAAACCCTGAATCTGTTTATCAGCTATTTAAAACCAGGGTATGTAAATGAATGTGCGTAACACATATGCACATTATCTGAGTGTTGATACTTAATAGCTGCATGCTTTTTTCTCCTGTATCATCTTCATCTAGTTTGCTACAAAAGGAAGCTATTAAAATCACCTTTACAAAATACAGTTTTAAAGTCAGATAACTCAGCAACCATTTTTTAAGAGATCGCTTGAATATCTAAAACACTGTTGACTTTCAGTGGAAATAGTAATTAGGGAGAACAAAACTCGTTTTTAACTTAGCACTTGTTTCTTAGGGCAGCAGTCCCCAATATTTTTGGCACCAGAGACCAGTATCCACGGACGGAGGTGTGGTGAGGGGAGTGGTTTCGGGCTGACGCCTGCGCGGTGGGGCCCGCGCGCCCGCGAGGGTCTCATGTCCTGCTGTTGCTGGCTGACCCGAGGCGGGGCTCAGCAGGGACGCGAGCGGTGGGGCCCGCGCGCCCGCGAGGGTCTCTGTCCTGCTGCTGCCGGCTGACCCGAGGCGGGGCTCAGCAGGGACGCGAGCGGTGGGGCCCGTGCGCCCGCGAGGGTCTCTGTCCTGCTGCTGCCGGCTGACCCGAGGCGGGGCTCAGCAGGGACGCCAGCGGTGGGCAGCGGCTGGAAACACAGGGCGCACTTCCCTCGTCCACCCGCCACTCAGCCTCCTGCAGTTTCCTCAGGCCCCTCTCCACTCCGTCCACACCCCACCTCCCGGAGAGGATCACTGTCCTGAGTTTTTTCCATCAGCGGTTCTGTCTGTTTCAGAATTTCACGTAAACGGGGTGGGGCAGCGTGCCCTCCTCCGTGTCTGACTCCTCCTCCCTGGAGGGCGTGTCCCGTCGCTGCCGCTCCACCGTTCTGCCCCTTCTCCCGTTGGGCACCTGGATGTGCCCAGCGTCGGCTGTGATGAGTAAAGCTGCCGAGAACACTTGTGCACAGCCCTTTTTGTAGGATTGTGGTTTCCTTTTTCTTGGGTAAATACCTAGGAATAGAATTGCTAGGTCATGGGTGAGGTCTATGTTTAGGTTTCGTTTTTTTTAAACTGCCAGACCTTTCCCCCCAGTGACTGTGCCGGTTGACACCCCCCAGCGGCGTGTGAGGCCCGGCCCCTGCGGGCCCTCGCCGGGGTGCCCACCGCCCGGTCCTGGTGGTCTCTGCTCCAGACCTTTCCCCCCAGTGACTGTGCCGGTTGACGTCCCCCAGCGGCGTGTGAGGCCCGGCCCCTGCGGGCCCTCGCCGGGGCGCCCCTCGCCCTGGCCTGGCGGTCTGTGCTCCGGCGCGCCGTGGTCCCGCTTGCCTTTCCTCGGTGCCGACGAGGCTGACCGCCTGTTACGTGCTTATCGGCCGCGCGTGTCTCTCGCGCCGCTTCTGCTCAGCTCATTTGCAGATGTTCTAGTTGGGTTGTTTGTGGAGCACACACACACGGCAGAGGGCCCTGTCTTCCTTAGCTTTGTACAGATACTCCGCAGTCATGCGTTTGGAGCTCCGGGGACGCCTACACGAGCCGGAAAAGGATTTTAGAACCCAGCCTCTCTTCCTGTAGAGTAGAAAATAGCCAAATGTAATTTTATTTGACACACTTTGTCTCAGGATTAAAAAAAGAACCTTAGACCTCTCTGTTATCTTCTGAAGTAGACAGTAGAGAGGAAAAGGGCCTGGTCCCGGAGACGAAGGACCCAGTGTCACCTGAGGCCTCAGCGTCCTTACTGAAGAATGAGGCCAGGGGGGAGACGATGGCGTCCCCTCGCCCGTCACACGCGGTGCGGCCTGAGGGGGCGCGGTGACACGCTGTGCAGGGGGGAGACGATGGCATCCCCTCGCCCATCACACGCGGTGTGGCCTGAGGGGACGCGATGACACGCCGTGAAGAGCTCGGGGGAGACAATGGCGTCCCCTCTCCTGTCACACGCGGTGCGGCCTGAGGGGATGTGGTGACATGCTGTGCAGAGCCCAGGGGAGACGATGGCGTCCCCTCTCCTGTCACACGCGGTGCGGCCTGAGGGGACGTGGTGACATGCTGTGCAGAGCCCAGGGGAGACGATGGCGTCCCCTCTCCTGTCACACGCGGTGTGGCCTGAGGGGGCACGGTGACACACTGTGCAGAGCTCGGGGGAGCATAGGTACTAAGGTCTAGGAGACAGGCGTGTTCTGAAATTCCTGAGACGTGGATGAATGGCACAGTAGAGGAAAAGTCCTCGGACTTCTCTGAATAGAAACAGTTTGCAGGGAAGGTGAGTGTGAATATGTGAACTTAACTGGCGGAACGAGAGTGTCTGCTGGGCCTTCAGTCCATGGAGCCAGTGCGCGCGTTCTCTCGGTAACCTGTTTTCTTTTTCAAACATTAGATACAAGAGGAAAGGAGACTCCTGCCTCGGCCTCAACCCGAAGAAGCAGTGTGTGTCTTGGGAGGGGACTTCCACAGAAAAGAAGCGTTCCCACAAGCACATTGAACGCTACTTCACGAAGAAGAGCGTGGGGTTAATGAGCGAGGCCGGCCTTTCCGTCAGCAGGCAGCCTGTAGCTCCGTCATCCCAGCCGCTCTCCTTTATCCCGGTGGGGGGCGTGGACGACGCGGCTCCCCCTGCTGCCAGCTGGCTGAACCCGCTGGGGATTTACGATCAGGCCACAACGCAGTGGTTACAGGGACAGGGTCCTTCGGAGCAGGAGTCCAGGCCACCAGACTCACAGCCCGACCGAGAGAGCGCGCTCCTCAAGGCCAGGGTGGAGGAGTTTAACAGGAAGGTTCGGGAGAACCCTCGGGACACGGAGCTGTGGATGGCTTTCGTTGCCTTCCAGGTAAGCGTCACTGTCCCAGTTCTCCTGCCTGGGTTTGATGGCCCTAATGTTGGGCACTGGCTTACCCTGCAGTGACTGTTGAGCTCCTGTGAGGAACCCTGGTGCCGGGCCCCTAAAGGTTAGAATAGAGCCCTTGCCCCGAGTCTGCTCAAAGCCCAGTGACGAAGACTGATGTGCGAGGGGTAGCTGCAGTCGGGGGCAGGACACGCTGTGACGTAGAAGCTGGGGATGGAATGAGGGGGTGACTGGCCACTCGGGAGTAAGAAATGGCCTCCACGAGATGGTGAACTGTGAACAGAAAGGGGGTGGGTGTTCGCCACGCAGCGGGGAGGCGTTCGTGAAGTTCAAGAGAACACGCGGAGTGCACAGGGTGGTCGGCAGTGACATGGCTAGAGCTACCAGCTCCCTTTCTGAAATACGTGGATCTGTCTTTGTCCCGCTTATTTTTGGAACCACTTATGTAATTACCACATTTGCCCCACATTTGGCTGTGTTATTGGTAAAATCGGCTTTTCAGAAAAGATTTTCAAGACACTGCATGCTAGTTATTGATACAGAAATCTAAGTTTAAAATGACGGGGACTCTCGAGGTAGTCCAGTGCCTGAGTCTCCGTGCTCCACGTGCAGAGGGCTCGGGTTCAATCCCTGGCCAGGGAACTAGATACCACAAGCTGCAGCTGAGACCTGGCACAGCCAGGTAAATAAGTAAACCAGTTCAGTTCAGTCGCTCATTTGTGTCTGACTCTTTGCGACCCCATGGACTGCAGCACACCAGGCCTCCCTGTCCATCACCAACTCCCGGAGTTTACCCAAACTCATGTCCATTGAGTCGGTGATGCCATCCAACCATCTCATCCTCTGTCATCCCCTTCTCCTCCTGCCTGCAATCTTTCCCAGCATCAGGGTCTTTTCCAAATGAGTCAGTTCTTTGCATCAGATGGCCAAAGGATTTGAGTTTCAGCTTCAGCATCAGTCCTTCCAATGAATATTCAGGACTGATCTCCTTTAGGATGGACTGGCTGGATCTCCTTGCAGTCCAAGGAGCTCTCAGGAGATGAGAGAGTGGACAGGGCTTCCCAGGTGGTGCCAGTGCAGGAGACATAAGAGATGGGGGTTCGTTCGATCCCTGGGTCAGGAATATCCCTGGAGGAGGAAATGGCAACCCACTTCAGTATTCTTGCCTGGAGAGTCCCATGGACAGGGGCGCCTGGCGGGCTACAGTCCATGGGGTCTCAGCGAGTCGGACGTGTCTTACCGACTAAACTCCCAACCCTAAACACAAGACCAGAGCTACCAACCCAAAGAGCAGTTGGTTGTGTGGAGTGAGCAGCCCTGTGGGCCTCGTAAGTCACTCCTCGAGCAGCGCTGACACCCTGGGCCCCCCGTTCTGCTTGCCTGTGTGAGTGGGTACTTTTGTTGTCAAGGACGAGGTCATGAGAAGTCCGGGCCTCTACGCCGTGGAGGAAGGAGAGCCGGAGACGCGGAAGCGGTCCCTGCGGCTGGTCCTGGAGAAGAAGCTGGCCATCCTGGAGCGGGCCATCGAGAGCAACCCGAGCAGTGTGGACCTGAAGCTCGCCAAGCTGAAGCTCTGCGCCGAGTTCTGGGAGCCCGCCACTCTGCTCAAAGAGTGGCAGAAACTGATCTTCTTACATCCCAACAACACAGCCCTCTGGCAGAAATACCTGTTGTTTTGCCAGAGCCAGTTCAGCACCTTCTCTGTATCAAAAATTCAGAGTCTCTACGGGAAGTGCTTGAGCACCCTGTCTGCCGTGAGGGACGGCAGCATCGTCTCCCACCCCGAGCTGCCGGGCACCGAGGAGGCCATGTTTGGTAAGAAGACAGCGACCCAGTCCAGTGACGTGGGAGGGGTGGGTCTTTCTTTTGGCTTCATTGAAAATAGTTTATCTTTGATTTATTTTAGGAAAGTCTTAAGTTGATAAAACTGATGCTTAAAAAAGGGTATTATGACTCCTTTTGATGACGGGTTCCCCCCACCACCACCCCCCCCGCCACCTTCTGGGCAGCGGGAGGCATTAAGCCAGTACAGTTCGGAAAATATCGCCAGACTAGAAGTTCCAACTTTTCCACTTGTTATTCGGGTAAATGCAGTCTCTTAACTGCTTTGGCTTTTGGTGGCCTTATCTGTTGAGATGCCCACATCTCACCCCATTGTGGGGGCTTAGGCGGTCACGCTTGCAGGGTGCCCTGGCTGGCTGGAAATCACTGAAAGATACAGGTTACTGGTATCATTATACGGTTAACATTTCCAGTAGGTCCCAAAGGAGACTAGACTATGTTACACATTTTGTGCAGTAATGAGATCCCAGAGACGGCGTGTTACCCTGGAGCGTATCACTCCTGACCTGCATGCTGGGTGACGGCGTGTTACCCTGGAGCGTGTCACTCCTGACCTGCATGCTGGGTGACGGCGTGTTACACTGGGCGTATCACTCCTGACCTGCGTGCTGGGTCTGCCCCTCACAGCTCCTGTGTGACCTTGGGCAGGTTCCTTAATGTGTGTGAGCTGTAGTTTCTCCCCCAGCAACAGCAGTCCAATACCTGCTTCACAGGAGGCTGTGCCTGTCAGCTGAGACGGTACATGGGGAGCCTAGCTCAGCGTCTGCCTCAGTAGCAGGCATTTCTTTGATCAAATCCCTGCTATTGAATATTGCTACTAATTTCTAAAGATAGAAGAAATACATTACTCTAGAAATAATAAACATTTGTGTCACTGCCTTAAAGGGGCTCATGTCTGATATTATGTGTTGATATGCTCAAACAGCTTAATAGTGTCTTGTAGAGAGAATTGAACCACAGTTTAAATGAACTGAAAATTTCAGACATGGAACCCAGATTTGTTTACAGCAGGACTGAGTCTGTGATGGAAATTGCTGGTGAATAATGCCATCTAGTGATCAACTGAGTACAGAGCTTGGCGATCTGATTTAAAAAAAAATCTACTGCGCCATCCTTTTCCCAGAGTTTTTCTCATAATAATGAGCTCAGAGTACTTGATAACCAATATTCAGACCATCCACTGGTCTTGTTTTATCGTTACTATTTGTACTCTGTGGCTGTTTCCTTTAAAAATGAGAATAAATGTACTATGACTGCAGTATGTTACTTGGGTCCTTTAAAGTCAGGACCTGCTTGTCTCACCAACTGGAAGCTACGACAGTCGCTGGTTTCGGGGAGAAGGTGGCCGGATGCTGAGCTGCACACTTTGGGAGCTGGCCTCTCCCCGTCCAGGTGCTCACCAGGCTTGTCCCCTCTGCTCTCCCACCCTCAGCCCTCTTCCTCCAGCAGTGCCACTTCCTGCGGCAGGCGGGCCACTCCGAGAAGGCCGTCTGTCTGTTCCAGGCCATGGTCGACTTCACGTTCTTCAAGCCCGACAGTGTGAAGGGCCTGCCCACCAAAGGCCAGGTGCGTTTCCTGCCTGAGCCCCCAGCTCCTGTCTCCGCCCCTCCCTCTTTTAGGTAGGGGTGTGGGTAATAGGGGTTGGTGGTAGTATTTTCAAAATATTTATATCCTCCTTACATCAGTTGAGGGTTGTCTCAGAAATATCCTGGCAATCCTAGGAAAATTCCATCACAAAAGTAGTGAAGCATTGAGAGCTGAAAGACGTTCTCTCCACCTCCCCAGCTATAAAGACTCACTGATGTCCTTTTTTTCCCCCCCTTACTATCAGCCCCTGTTTAAATGCTAGTTACCACCCACAACCAGGGAAGCAGTTATCATGCCTTGTATTTTTTTAAAATTTTTTCATAATTTTATGTTTTATTTGACTAGGTCTCTGTGCAGGCTGTTCTCTAGATGTGGCGCTTGGGCTTCTCATTGCAGTGGTTTCTCTTGATGTGGAACAGGGGCTCTAGAGTGTTTCAGCTTCAGTACTTAGAACCCCCAGGCTCTGGGGCGCAGACTCAGGAGTCGTGACCCCGGGCTCTGGGGCGCAGACTCGGGAGCCGCGACCCCGGGCTCTGGGGCGCAGACTCGGGAGCCGCGACCCCGGGCTCTGGGGCGCAGACTCGGGAGCCGCGACCCCGGGCTCTGGGGCGCAGACTCAGGAGCTGTCGTGTGCGGGCTTAGTTGTCTGCCTGAGGCATGTAGGATCTTCTTGGACCAGGGCTCGAACTTGTGTCCCCTGCATTGGCAGGCAGATTCTTTACCAATGAGCCACCAGGGAAGTCGTATCATAGCTTTTAAACCGCGGGTCCGCTCTCCTGCCTCTGCATTCTAACCCGCATCTCATGTCTCTCCCGGGTTACCCTTTCCTCCACCTAAGACCTTGGCTGAAGTTGCAGTGAAATTACATGTTGGTGCTTTGTCAACACTGATCCTAATTTGGGTGATAGGGGAGGGATATAAGAAAACCTTTTCCCTTTTTCCACTTAAGAAAACTCAGTTTTCTACTTCATGAAGAAGGTCTGGTAGGAGATGGACAGGGTATCTCAGTTTATGGTGGACTTTCCAAGGTCTTTCGTGACAGTCTGAGGTCTCCATCTTGTGGAGCTTTCATAAATGGCCTGCAAAAACTGTTTTTATCATCATTATTTTTAACCTTTGTTTTCTGGACAAAATTGGGTTCAGGAATATTGGTTAGTATTGACATAACTGATTGTTAGTATAGTAAGCCAGGTAACACAGTTATTTTAAGACGTGTTTTGCTGTTTTAAGAACGGGCTGTACTACATAAGTGCCTCAGTCTCTCTGCAGAGCCTGGGGCGTGGTCAGGGGTCGGGGTCAGAGGTCCCCTCATCCCTGCCCCTTGACTGACAGTCTCTGTGATGGGAGGGGTTGCTGACGAGGGTCGGGGCACCGCCCTGGACTGAAGCCTGGCCCAGGACCAGTCCACGGCGCTTGAGGCTTCGAATACTCTGGAGCGCATGACCAAACCTCAATACATCTTCCCAACAGACGGTAGGGACTCGGAGCTTGTTGGCACGAAGCTGAACGTGGCGGCTAACCTCCATGTTTTACACCTCGACAGGTGGAGTTCTTTGAGCCCTTCTGGGACAGCGGCGAGCCCCGGGCCGGGGAGAAGGGCGCCCGAGGCTGGAGAGCCTGGATGCACCAGCAGGAGTGGGGCGGCTGGGTGGCCGTCAGCCCAGGTGAGGCGCCTCTCCGCGCAGAGGCTGCGGCCTCTTCCTCACGGGGTGTTTACATCCTGGCTTGTTTGTGTGTGTAAGCGATTCACCAGTGACTCAAGAACGTGATACAGATCCCAAAACCTCAGAAATGCATGCGGCGAAAGACCGGGGAGCGTAGGCTGTACTTCCCCTAGACACCTTAAAGCAGCCCCCCACCCCCCGCCAAGAAGCTGGGGAGAAGGTACACCGGGAGGTTCTCTGCACCCTTCACCTGCTGCCCCGGGCGCGGGAGTCACTGCTGGTACGTCCACAGCGTCGCTCAGATTCCGCCCGCGTTGCAGGCGCTCATTTCCGCCTGTGTCCGCTCAGCACTCTGCATTTACCCCGCGTGCGGCTTCAGGCAGCCCCCGCCTCCCTCGAGGCCCCCTTGCGCCCCCTTCTGTCCACCCCACCGCGAATCCCGTCTCCGTTTCCCTTCACTACTGTGTTCTCTCACCTGTTTATATAGGGAATCATACGTGATCCTTTTCAACATTTCTAGTTGTGAAACACACAATTTACCATTCTAGCCATCTTTAAGTATGCAGTTCAGTGACGTTAGTCACATTCAGACGCTTGTCACCCATCATCACCATCCGTCTCAGGTCCTCCGTCTCCCCCAGCGGCCCCGACCCCGGTTCAGCTCGCTCCCCGCTCCCCTCTTTGGCCCCCTGCACCGACTGCCACCCCTCGGCGCTGAAGAGCAGCGCATGCGCAGTCAGTGCTGCTTGTTCGACAGAGCGTCGTGTCCTCGAGGCTTACACGGCGCGGAGCATGTGTCAGTGTTTCTTCCCTTTTTAAGGCTAAATGATTTCCCACCGTATGCATATATCACACACACGACGCATCGCTTCACCTTTCGGCAGTTGTGAATGTACCGCTCGGACCGTGAATGTGCAAATACCTGTTTGAGTCCTTCCTTTCAGTTCTTTGGGAAATAGACCCAGAAGTGGAACTGCCAGCTCATGTGGTAATTCTGTCTACTTCTTTGAGGAACCTCACACAGTTTTTCCACATCAGCTGCACGATTTCGCATCCTTAGCACCAGCGCACCAGGGTTCCGTTGTCCTCACATCCTCACTGACAGTTGTTTTCTGTATAACTTTTGAAGATTGGCTTTTTCTCATCTGGCAGAATCCCCATGAGATCTCCACGTTGTGCGTTTATCAGCAGTTTTGTTCGTGGCATAGCTGTACCGTACTTTCTCTAGTGGCCTAGTGTAGGACACTTGGGTCATTGCCAGTTTTTGGCTTTTGTGAATAAAACTGCTGTGGGCATTAGTGTAAAAGTTTTTGTGTGAATGTAGTTCTTCATTTTTCTGGGATCAGCACCCAAGAATAAAATTTCTAGGTCTTATGGTCAGTGCATTATAGTTTTATAAGAAACTGCCAGACTGTTTTCTGGGTGGCCATACCATTTTACATACTCTGTTTATTTTTAAATATTGAACTTTAATGGAAGACTCTTTTTTATTCTGCATGTTCAGGGTTAGGAAACAAAGTAAAATAAAATATAGGATATCTTGAATTGCCTCTTTCTTGAAAAGAAAAAGTGAACATGCTGATAATCATAGGGCCACTGGCTAGAAATTCTGGCAGCTTAAGAAAACCTAAAGCAGTGCTATCATTAAATGTCCTTTAGCATTCTGGAATGTGTTGTGCAGTACAGTAGCTACTAGCAACACATGGCTGTTTTAATTAAAATTAGTTGAAATAAAATTTGAAATTCAGTTATTCTACCGGCTATGATTCAAGTGCCCAGCAAGTCACATGTGGCTACCATATCACACAGAATTAGAACATTCTCATCATCACAGAAAGTTCTCCTGGACAGTTCTCTTCTAAAATAAGTCATTCCCATTTTTAATTGCTGTGATAGCATAAAAAATCATCTGATTCATCGGCTCACCTTCCTTTCCTGGGAACCTGACTGATTATGGGAGAGTCCGTAAATGCCATTGAGTGGCCCAGAAGGCCGGGCCTGGGTCACGTGTGTCTCAGCCTTCTGGGTGTGACCCCGTCCCTGGCCAAGCAGATGGGTTTAAGGGTTGAGGGCGGCGCCGTCCGCTAGTTCGGTTGCTGGAAGTTTCATTTTTGCCTAGATGACGAGGACGAGGAGCTGGAGGACGAGGAGCAGGATATCAGAGACAAGACTCTGCCCCGGTGGCGGATCTGGCTGGCCGCCGAGCGGTCCCGAGACCGCAGGCACTGGCGGCCGTGGCGCCCAGACAAGGCCAGGAAGCAGACGGAGGAGGACTGCGAGGATCCCGAGCGCCAGGTGAGGCCCCCGCACCCCAGCGGCGCATCTCTGCTGTGCTGTGTGAGGCCCCGCCTAGCTCGGGAGTGGCTGACCCGCTCCTTCTCCCATCTCAGAAACGTCCTCTCAACGGGCAGGGCTGCACTGGCTGCTGGTGATGGAGGAGCCTCAAGGCGCTCACCCTGACGGTCCCAAGGAGGCGGTTGGGTCAGCCCTCCGGAGACTGGCTTCCAGGTTATTCAGTCAGTTTTCCACATTAAGCCTTGAGGGCTCAAGCTTGGAAATCATGGAGTCACTGTCCTAGATTTTTCCTCTGTGTCCACGTTCCCCGCTCTTGATCCTTGAAGATGCGTGTGTGTGTGACTCAGGAGATGGGGGCAGGAGGTGCAGGCCGAGTGGGGACAGTGGGTGACCAGGCCCATCCTCCCAGGGAGGAAGTAGCATTTATTGAGCTCTGGTGCGTGCCAGGTACTCAGGCTTCCTCCCTCAGGGCCTGGTGCCCTTCTGTATGGCTGGCAGCTCTGCAAGTTTCTGTTGTTGTTCAGTCGCTAAGTTGTGTCCGACTCTTTGCGACCCCAGGGACTGCAGCACGCCAGGCCTCCCTGTCCATCACCAACTCCCGGAGTTTACCCAAACTCATGTCCATTGAGTCGGTGATGCCATCCAACCATCTCATCCTCTGTTGTCCCTTTCTTCTCCTGCCTTCAAATCTTTCCCAACATCAGGGTCTTTTCCAGTGAGCTGGCTCTTCACATCAGGTGGCCAGAGTATTGGAGCTTCAACATCAGTTCTTCTAATGAATACTCAGAGTTGATTTCCTTTAGGACTGACTGCTTTGATCTCCTTGCAGTCCAGGGGACTCTCAAGAGTCTTTTCTAGCTCCACCATTCGAAAGCATCAATTCTTTGGGGCTCAGTCTTCTTTATGGTCCAACTCTCACATCCATACCTGACCACTAGAAAAACCATAGCTTTGATTATATGAACCTTTGTCAACAAAGTGATGTCTCTTCTTTTTAATACACTGTCTAGGTTGGTCATAGCTTTTCTTCCAAGGAGCAAGCATCTCTTAATTTCATGGCTGCAGTCACCGTCCACAGTGATTTTGGAACCTAACAAGTTTTACATTAAAATAAAGGAAGAAATTCTATTTTGATACCTGGAATTGAGCCACTTTTACAAAATACCAACTACAGTCTACCCCAAACAACGAGGGGGTTAGGGTCATCAGCCCCCAGCAGTTGAAAATCTGAGTATAACTTTGCAGTCAGCCCTTTGCAGCCAAGGTTCCATAGCCTCAGATTCAACCAGTCATGGGTCATGTGGTCCTGGGGGACATGCTTAGTGAAAAAACCCATGTGTGAGTTAGGGTCTGGGTCCACGGTGTGCCTGGCCTGTGACAGTCACGGGTACAGACCGAGAGGTTTTACAGCAGCTAGGCTCCTGGGCTCTGACAAAGCACGAGCCTCGAGGTGGGGACTTTTCCTGTTTGCATCTGCGTCCCCAATGTCTGGACAGAGGGTGCCCCGTGACAAGGCCTCTGCCAGTCCTGGATGTCGAGCAAGCATCTATCTGATCTGGGTGCTTGCACTCCAGCAGAGGGATCGGGATGGCTGAAGGCCCCAGAGGACTGGGGTGTCCCAGGAGAGGTGAAGGGGGTGGCTAGCCTGGGGTTAAGCACCCAGGATCAGGGAGAAGGAGAGAGGTGCTCTCTGGGCAGGAGGGAGCGGCCGGATTCCCAGGGAACTGAGTCTGCATGTGAGGTCCCCGCCCTGGCTGAGCTGAAGTTTTCAGAAAGTGGGTGGGGTTTGTCTTTGGTGTGTGAGGGTTTTACATGGCTGACCTCCAGAAGTTCTTGAGGCTCAGCAATTTGACGATTTCCTGGAAGTTCATTCCTGGAGCCACGTACTGCTGTGAGCAATTTCTTATATCTCTTTGCTTTGGTGAAAACCTGGAGGAGAAAAGCTTTTTGATTAATTGATGGTTCTGATGGGTCGAGTCCCAGGTGGTCCAGTCTTATCATGGTCGTGTTTTGATTTCCTCTTTGCTGAGGGCAGCAGACACCAGGCGGGCAGGGCCAGAGACAGTGTCGTCCCCGAGGCCTCACGGTTTAAAGGTGTGACGTGAAGCCAGTGGTGAGCACAGTTAGTATGAGGCCCTTATAATCGCTCCCAGCATGGCCCATTGCTCCCTCAGTCTCCTTTTTCCTTTGCTGCTATTTATATATTTTGGAGCATATTTTTCATTTCCTGAAGCAATTTGGTACAAAGAAACCACAAAACAGTAACGTTCTTCTATCTTGAAATAAAAATTTTTCCCAACTGTAACTTATGAAAGTAACTATAAAAGCGACACCGTGTGTTCTCAGAAGCAAATGCGATTCTGGATTTCCTGCAAATCCATCAGGCGACCTCGGCAGTCCCTGCTCTGGTGTTCCCTTCTGCGGAGGGCACCCAGGAGGGGTGAGACGCTGCCCCCTGCGCACCTGCCCCCCTCAGCTTGCCTCATCTCACAGAAAACCTGGCTCCTGTGTGTTAAAAATTGAGTAATGTTGGCGCACATCCATGTGAAGACAACTGCTGGGGGTGGTGAGGGGCCGCCCGGTGGCTCTGTGGTCAGGAATCCACCTGCCCAGCAGGAGACGGGCTCGGGCCCTGGTCCAGGAAGAGCCCACCCGCGTGGGGCAGCGGAGCCCGTGTGCCCTGGGGTGCGGGCTCTGCAGGGAGACGCCCGGCTCCACGGCTCGAGGGGAGCCCCGCTCACGGCGACAGAAGCGCAGCCCACACGGCAGCAAGGACCCGGCACAGCCACACACAGTTTACAAAGGCGGTGGGAAACGTCTGTCTGTTCGCCGCATTCAGTCACGCCGTCTTTGTCCTCGCAGGTGTTGTTTGACGATCTCGGGCAGTCTCTGATCCGACTTTCCAGCCCGGATCTCCAGTTTCAGCTGATTGCGGCCTTCCTGCAGTTCCTGGGGGTGCCTTCTGGCTTCAGCCCTCCCGCCTCCTGCCTCTATCTGGCCATGGATGAGAACAGCATCTTCGACAACGAACTTTATGACGAAAAGCCCTTGACTTTCCTCGACCTCTCCTGCTCCGGCGTCGGCTGTGTGGGCCACATGGACCCTCTGGGTGGCCGGCGCTGGCCCCGGGGTCCCAGTCGAGAGGGCGAGGAGTTTATCCGCAACGTCTTCCACGTGGTGCTGCCTCTGTTTGCAGGCAGGGAGCGGTCTCAGCTCTGCGTCTTCTGGCTACGGTACGAGATCACCAAGGTAACGCTGGGTCCCCCTCCCTGGGTGGGGACCTCAGCTCCTGTGGCTCTGTCGGCAGGGTGGCGGGCTCTTGGTGTTCTGCAGGGCGCCGGGCCACAGCACCTCCTCCTTCAGGGACCCGAGGGCACCGCCTTCTCGGGGCCGCAGGGAAGAGGGGCACTGAGTCCAGTTCATCAGTGACCGGAGCTGTTTGCTGTGCTGACTCTGTTACCGAGTCTGTGACTGTCGGCACTTAGTGTTAAGGACCGTGCTTAGGCTTAAGCTGGGTTAGAGGATTTAAGGGTTTATTAAAACAGATAAAGTAAGCTGCTTACTCTGCTTTTCGGTGTCCATTCCCCGCTGGAAATTCTTCTAGGATCGACTCTCCTGCCCTCTGCTGGCCACCAGCCAGAATTAAATTTTAACGTCCGAAGTTCTGATCCCTTAATTGCAAAGGGCACACACCAGGCTGTGTTATTAAAATAGTGTCTGGTAAACTCTGATGGGGCTTCCCTGCTGCCTCAGCAGTAAAGAATCTACCTGCCAATGCAGGAGACGCGGGTTTGATCCTTGGCTCAGGGAGAGTCCTCTGGAGGAGGAAATGGCAACCCACTCCAGTGTTCTTGCCTGGGAAGTCCTATGGATTTCACCTATCTTTGAAGAAGGCTGTTTGGGGTGTATAAGCCTTGTTACAGGAGTGTCAGATGGAAACCTGGGCGTGTTCATTTCAGGGCTCCCGTGGCCTTGGTAGAATCCTGACCTATTTCTCAGGGAGCCTATGCGTTCGCCAGATATGTGACGGAGGCAGGCAGTGTAGACGCCTTGTGTGGCTTCCTGCAGCTGACAGTACAAAGAAAAAACGAAAGTATAGTCGCTCAGTCGTGTCTGACTCTCTGTGACCCCATGGACTGCAGCCCGCCAGGCTCCTCCGTCCATGGGAGTCTCCAGGCAAGAAGGCTGGAGTGCGTTGCCATTCCCTTCTCCAGGGGATCTTCGTGACCCAGGAATGGAACCCAGGTCTCCCGCACTGCAGGCAGATCATTTACCATCTGAGCACCAGAGGACTCGACAGTACAAAGGGGTGTCTTTAACGTTTCGGAGCATTTGAAGTCATTCTTTTCCTTTTCACCTTTAGGTCATTTGGTGTCTGCACACTAAAAACAAGAAGAGGTTAAAGTCACTGGGAAAGAACTGCAAAAAACTAGCCAAGAATCTCCTCAAGGAGCCAGACAACCGCAACAGCGCTTGCCTCTGGCAGCAGTACGCAGGCCTGCCCGACTGTCTCAGCCGCCTGGTCAGCCTGGCGAAGTGCTTCATGCTCTTCCAGTACCTGACTGTGGGGGTCGGCGCCGCTGCGCGCGTCTACGAGCAGGTGTTTGCAGGGCTCAGGGGCTCCGTCTCCGCCGAGGGTGCCGGCCTGGAGGGCGCCCTGGAGGCCGTCGCCCTGATGCACACCAGCCTGCTCAGGTTCCACGGCCGGGTTGCCGCCTACCCGCTGGCTCCCCTGCGAGAGGCGCTCTCAGAGGCTTTACGGTTGTACCCGGGCAACCAGCTTCTCTGGAGGTCGTACGTGCAGATTCAGAGCAAGTCCCACAGCGCCAGCAGGACCAGAAGATTCTTCCATGCCGTCACCAGGTCCGCCAAACACCTGGAGCCGTGGCTGTTCGCGATTGAGGCGGAGAGAATGAGGAAGAGACTGGTGGACGCCGTGCAGAGGTAGTTACAGAGCGCCTCATCCGTGGCCCGCAGGCCCCCACGTGGTCATGGTTCCCGCGGCCCGCCAGGGCCTGGGACGCCTGCGCGGGTGGCGGGAGCGGTGCAGTCTCTATTACAGGAAAATGCCTTGAAAAAGGAAAGAGTCTGCAAGGAGCGGCCGGAAAGTGTGCTGAAAGAGGAGTTAGGGCAGAGAGCGGCCCCTTTGCCAGGGCTCAGGGGTGCCTCCCAGGCCTCGCTGCAGGGCGTCCTGGGCTTTGCTTCTGGTGCCTGAGAGCTTGCAGAGCATGTGTGGGGCAGGCACTCGGGCCTGGAGTCAAAGCCCAGCGCTTCCCCGTGGCAGCTGTGTGATCTTGGGCGGGGCAGTTCACAGCTCTGGTCTGTTCCCTTTCTGTAAAATGGGAATAATTAAAGAGCCTGCCTCAGAGGGTTTCTGGGAAGACGGAGTGCTGAGCACAGACTCCAAAATAATTACTAGCCTGTGTTATTATCACTGGTGATAACGGGGTCACGCTTTAAATGTCTCTTTTTAGGTAACACTTTTATGTCTGAACATTAAGCAGTAGGCTTGGGCACATGTTAGCTGAGGCATCATTTTTCCTTCTAGAACCTTTGTTGTTTTACTCTGACCTGAGAGAGGCGGTGTTCCAGACTGCCTCTGAATATTGTTTCAGTTTCCTTGTGTTTCACCCTTTCCATTCGAATTTTATTCACTCTACTTTGAACTGAAAGGTCTCACGGTAAATGTGCACTCTGCGGATGAAGGGCAGGTTCTCCTGAGAAAACGAGTCTGTGTGCCCTCAGGGTGGACTCTGCAGGGTGGAGGCCCCACAGAGCCCTGGATGCTGCGCTCCACCAGCCCTGGAGGAGCCATGTCTCCCCTGCGCCACGCACCCCCGTGCCCCAGACCTGGGGCAGCACTGCCACGCTCTGACCCCGTCGCTGACCCTGCTGCAGCATCAGCCTGAGTGGTTGTCCCAGAGTCACATGAGCCTCTGTCTTGCAGGGTGGACGGCAGAGAGGTCCACGCCACCCTTCCCGAGATCGGCCTGACGCACCGGATCAGAGCCCTGTTTGAGAGCACCATTCGGAGCGCCCACGGCAGCCAGTGCCCCTTGCTGTGGAGGATGTACCTGAACTTCCTGGTAGGGACGGATGCCGGGTTCCTGTTCCCTGCAGAGCTGCTTCCTCTTCCAGAAGAGCGAGGCAGGGGTGCCTGGGACCTGGGAGGCGCCTTGTTCAGTGAGGGGGGCGCTCAGGACCCGGGAGGGGCCCTGGTGGAGTGACTGAGGCGGACCGCCTGGGCCATTGGCCCAGGTTTGATCTGTGGGTTTCTGAGTTGACTTCATTGAGGAAACAACTTGGAAATTGGTCTGAGAGCTTTTCATTCAAAAGAGACCTAAATGTGTTGCTATTCTGCTTCTAAGAATTTCCAGGTCCTGATTCTATTTTGTTACTAAAAGGTAATATTCAGTCTGGACTGTGGTTTTTAAAATAGGCATTTCCAAAGCAACTTTGCTTTTACTTAGAAGCACCACAGCCATTTAATTTTGTCAATGTGTTCTGCAGGCCGAAAGGCAGTTCCTGGGCTTCACCGGGTCTGAGTTGGCTTTGTCTTTGGTTAAAGGTCTGACATTGGGCTGGACTTCCTGTATTATGATACATTTACTGCCGAGTTTTGTGGTTTTTTAGAAACAGCGTCTTCCAGGCCACTTGAGTGTCTAGACAGCGCTCACGGCTGTTGTCCTGTCAAAGTGCCCTCCATTGACTACTGTGCCTTTCAGAAGCCCTGCGTGACCTTCCCTGTTCATAAATGTGTATATTTCTGGTTACTTCCATAGGATAATTTCTCAGAAGTTGATCAAAATATTTGAACATTTCCCAATGACTTTTGATAGAGAAGGGTGTAAAGAGACGCAGAGAGGAAGGTAGGGGCTAGGAGAAGTTTAGGGTTAGAAGTCTGGGCCTCCCCCAGCCTCTTAGAGTCTGTAACTTATCTGGGAGCACCTCCCCCGAGCTCTGAAAGGCCTGAGTAGCTTGTCTCAAGACAGCAGCTCACAGGCACACACCCAGCACAAACGGGCAGCAGGCGGCCCCAGGATGAATTATCAAAGTTTCTGTGGTTTTAACATTTATTCTTCATGCTCAAAAGCGTAGATTTCATATCTTGCCTCCTGATGTGGGATGGGAGCCTCCAGAAGTCCAGACTTCAGCTCCACGAGCTCAGCTTGTGCCCACTCACAGCCGTGGGCGCCCGCCCGCGGAGCTGCCTGGGGACCTGTGACTCCTGGGGGAGCGGCTGGTCCCTTCCCAGGACCTGGGAGAGGGGAGCTGGCGGGGGAGGGGGTGTAGGGGAGCCAGCTTCTGCAGCAGGTGTGGGAAGAGCGCCTGTGAGTTGAGACTAAGGCTTCATATCTCAGTGTTGTATGAACACTTCCCAGGCAGCACCGGTGGTGAGCCCGCCTGCCAGTGCAGGAGACACGAGACATGGTCCCATCCCTGGGTCAGGAAGATCCCCTGGAGGAGGACATGGAAACCCGCTCCAGTGTTCCTGCCTGGAGAATCCCATGGACAGAGGAGCCGGGAGGCTACAGTCCATGGGATCATACAGAGTCAGACATGACTGAAGCGACTTAGCGCACATGCATTGGATAAAAACGTGCTTAGAGTAGAAATGTGCTGTTTGCGCACTCTCAGACTGAAATTCCTGATCAGAAATTTGCTCTTGACAAGGTTCTTGACTCAGTTAATCCTGGTTATCTCATTTTTGTAAGATAGTTTTCAGAAAATGGCTAGTGTTAAAGAAATCCTTTTCTGTCATCACCCTCCTCAGCACGTGGGAGAGGAGGAGAGGAAGCAGGTCAGCCATGTTCAAGGCCTGGTTCAGGCCCGCCGACGCAGCTGAGGCCGCGAGGGTGTCCCACAGCACGCGGCCCCCGCACCCCTGCCCCGTGTGGGCCAGCGGCTGATGGCCTTAGATTCTGTCTCAGTTCCTCAGTTTTGTTATTTTTTTTCCCCTTGCTTCAGGTTTCCTTAGGAAATAAAGAAAGAAGCAAAGGTGTGTTCTACAAAGCACTGCAGAACTGTCCTTGGGCAAAGGTGAGTTCTCCAGGCGTGGTCTCTGGATTCTCAGGGACCTTCCCGCCAGACCTCATGCGGTCAGTGCCGTGGGCCCGGCCCCTCAGGGCTTCCCGCGTCCCCTGCAGCCTGAGGGGCTTGTTTCCTGTCTGGGGGCACAGCTGGTTCCCAGCAGTTGCCAAAGCCCAGCCCAGATCCCGAGCGTGTTGGGAGTCACGTTCAGCTCTGCCTGCAGCACCGGGATCAGGGGATGCTCAGAGAGCAGACGGGTGGGGACCGCCGTGTCAGCAGCTTCCGGGCCAACTTGGAGAGAGGCCGTGCGCCTGTGCCCCCTGGGGCTCACTAAGGTGCCCCCTGGGGCTCGCTAAGGCGCCCCGAGTTAGGGCAGGAAGGGGGCGGGGGCCGCCCGCTGACCGGCGTCACCCCCGCCCAGGCGCTGTACATGGACGCCGTGGAGTACTTCCCCGACGAGATGCAGGAGGTCGTGGACCTGATGACGGAGAAGGAGCTGCGGGTGCGCCTGCCGCTGGAGGAGCTGGAGCTGCTGCTGGAGGACTAGACGCCGGGTGGGGCCCGCCCTGGGGGCCGGGACCAGCCCCAAGACACGGGCATGCGTGTGCCCAGACCTCTGCCCTGCAGGGTCTTCCCTGTCAGTGTCTGGGCTGCCAGTCTCACCTCTTGCACAGTTTTTGCACATGTAGATGACACAAAGCTGTTGTTTTGCACATACGTGTGAATATGTATGTACACAGACAAGAATCACGCCAAAGCTGTCACGCTCCGTGTGGGTCCTTTTGGCCCACTCTCCCCTGCCCAGCCCGGGTGAAGGTTCTTCCTGTTGGCATCCTTAGGGATCCTGCCACGTCTCCTGGCTCTTGCAATCGAAAGAAAGGTCTGGTTACTCACCAGGCCTTCCTCCCTGCAGCTGGTGAGCCTGCTCTGCCCCTCTTCAGACCAAAGCAGCAGGGAATCGGGTACAGCTCGGAGTCCTCAGCTGCACCACGCATGTCCTTCCTGTTCCCGAAGCTCCGCTCGCAGACCTCTCGCCTGCGGACTCGGCGGGCAGGGTCGCCTGGAGTTCGTGCCCGTGGAGACCCTGGGCCCGCGGCCCTGCCGAGTCAGATCAGGCTCCAAGAGGGAGGACCCCTGTCGGGACTGAACAAACAGGGACCCCGCTGCAAGGGAGCGGGCCCGGGTCCAGTTGCAGAGAGCGCGTCCTGCTCCTCCGTGGCGAACCCGTCTCTGCCTCAGAGATGCCGAACGTTCGCTTCCGGCCGCGTCAGCCGCGCTGCGCTCGTTCCTATTTCCAAGAGCGGTGATCGACAGCCGGCGGAGCGGAAATGCTGTCTTCTCCGAGGTCCTGCTTTTTTAAACACAGTGGACTTCTCTGCGTTGCGTTTCTTTTTTTTTTTTTTTTGGACACTTTGGGTATTATACACCCATCTTACCATGGAATTGTTAGGGGAAGACATTTTTTTTTTTCCCCATTTATTTTTATTAGTTGGAGGATAATTACTTTACATCATTGCAGTAGTTTTTGTCATACATTGAAATGAATTAGCCATGGATTTACATGTATTCCCCATCCCGGTCCCCCCTCCCACCTCCCTCTCCACCCCATCCCTCTGGGTCTTCCCAGTGCACCAGGCCCGAGCACTTGTCTCATGCACCCAACCTGGGCTGGTGATCTGTTTCACCCTAGATAATATGCATGTTTCAATGCTGTTCTCTTGAAACATCCCACCACGCTCTCTAGAACTGCTGAGAGCGAATTTCACTGGCCGCTCGTCCAGAAAATAGGGCGTTGTGGAACCTGGGCTAGAAACGGAGGGACACCGGCTGGGGGCAAGGGCCGCACTGAGCAGAGCGCGGGGCGGTGCCGGCGATTCTGAACTCCGGTGAGAGGGACAGGTGCTGACCGCCGCAGGGCTGCCCCTTTGAGACCCCGTCTCAGCAGCACCAGTCCTCCCTTCCTGCCCCAGACCCTCCAGGGGCCGCCCCGGCCGGGGGGTCGTAGCCTTGTGGCCTCCACAGCAGAAGTGGCCGGCCGTGTGCTCACGAGCCAGCGACTGCTGTCTAGAGCTGCCTTCAGCGGAACTGTGCCCCAGGTCCCCCAGAGGCTTCCCCACACCTAGGCCCACCCACTCCGGCCACGGAGCACCCAGCGTGTGGACAGGACTCCGTGTTAAGAGAAAGAACGCTTTATTGGGACGCTGGCAGCCCGCCAGGGCCCTACACGCGCGCTCGGGAAGGACGCGGGACGCTCTGCCAACCGCGGCCAGTGGCACATGGCGCCCAGGCAGCTCCCTCCCAACCTCACCCCAGGGGCCAGGACCCTCCCAGCCTTTCCTGGAAGTTAACTCTGGTCCACTACAGATAGAGCCCCTCCGGGGTGCCTTCCTGTTTTTTATAAAGAACATTTTCCTTCGACTTTTTGAAGTCTTCATTTGTTACTTTCATTCTGCGCTCTCTCAAGGCCATCAGACCAGCTTCTGTGCAGATTGCCTGTATGAAAAGAACAGTGTATTCAGAGAAGGAAATACTTTTTATACTAACAATTCAGAGAGCACTATTTGGAAATCTGGCGTTGGCATCCAGGCCAAACACATTTTTTTCAAACTTAATGTTTCAAGCATCCTAATTATTTTCTCAAAGGACCTGAGGGGGCTTAACCTGAGAGTATTTCATTAAGGAAAGGCCTGTCTTGGGCTCTGACTAGCCGTGTGGCCTGGCAGGCCAGTAAATCCTCAAAGCTTTGCTTTCATTAAAGGGAATAATCCTAAGAGATAGATAAAATGACATCCAGAGGCCACATACAGTGACATCCATTTCATTTACCTACAGTCTTAGAGAAAATATATTCTGGTTAAATGTTTATACAAATTTCAGACAGTATATATTCGAATCTATTCACTTTCTCAATAATTATTTGCCAAAACTAAAACAAGAACCCAAGCACACGATAAAAACACAATCCTGGCACTGAAGATTCTATCTGGTTATGGCCTTCAGCAGCACGTTTACTTCAAGTGATTTGGAAAAGAGTATTTCTACACACAAAAAAACAAACAAGTAGAAGGGTAACATTTGGTAAACGGAGGCGATGAGTATATGGGTGTTTACTATTGTTGCAACTTTTCTGAAGGCTTGAAAATTTTTTTCTAAATAAAAAGTTAAGATTTTAAAATAATGTCACCTCACTCCCCCGCTGAGACCAGCCTAGTTCCATAGATGTCACTGAGACGCAGTTCAGCGCAGGCAGCGGGACCAGGACTGCATGCGCCCCCGCCTAACCGGAGCGTCACCCAGGTGCCCCTGCAGGGAGCAGGCCGTGCCCAGTCACGGCGGCCACACCCCGCCCCTCAGCGTCTGGGAACACATGATAAAACAGGTACAATCCAGCCCAGGGCCTCACCTTGATGTCGGCACCAGAGAGGTCATCTTTAGCCATGATCAGGTCATCCAGGGTCACGTCGTCGGCCAGTGTCATCCTGCTGGTGTGAATCTGGAAGATGCGCTTCTTGGTCTTCTCGTCGGGCAGGGGGAACTCGATCTTCCTGTCAATGCGGCCTGTGGGCACAAGAGGTTTTCAGTCACAGCCCTGGTGCCCCAGCCCTGGCTGAGAGAGGCCTTGTCTCCTCACATTAGTCATCTCAGTCACAGTGTCCTGTGCCAAATCTTAAAAAAAAAAAAAGCGTCTCGGGGCTAAAAATGTCAGGCTATACAGAGTACATCACAATCCCACTTAATATTATCTCAAGGGGACACAGTTTTGGTAAGTTACTCCAAGCTTCAAGGCAGTATTTGCCTTTGTACATATCACCTGTTAACCTATCCTCCCCAAAGTGCCCTTCAGAGATACAAAACCACGTCAGCGCATCCACACTCCGTGATGGAGCCCACGCAGCCTGACCTGGTCTGATGAGGGCCGGGTCCAGGGTCTCGATGCGGTTTGTGGCCATGATGACTTTCACGTCTCCCCTCGAGTCAAACCCGTCCAGCTGGTTCAGCAGCTCCAGCATCGTGCGCTGAATCTCTCTCTCCCCGCCCGAGTTGGAGTCGTACCTGAGAGAAGCGGCCAGGGAGCATGAGGACCCTGCCCAGCTGGTGAAGGCACTCGAGACACGGCTGTTTCCACCCGCGTGTCTCTCCGCCCAGAGCCCAAGCTGAACACCACAGTATCTTCTTTGTGGTCATTTTCATGCCTGAAACTGTGTCATTTTTATTCAGTCTCCACGTGTGAGCTCCTCGAGGGCAGACTCATCTTCACCGCTGTCTCCAGAGTCCGAAGGGTGCCGGGCTCCGAGCCGGTGCTCACGGCACGGCTGTGGACGGACTGAATCCACTGACGGGGAGTTGCTGCCTGTGCACGGGGCGGCGGAGCCCCCGGCATCCGCGGGGAGTGGCACAGGGGGACCGCGGCAAGCCAGCACGCAGCCTCTCCCGGGCCTGCCCACAGCCCTCATTCCCAGAGCAGAGCAGCACGGTCCTACCCGTTAATGACATGAAAGAGGGAAGAGAGAGTCTACCTTTTTGTCCCAATAGCATCAATTTCATCAATAAAGACGATGGATGGTGCGTGTTCTTCAGCAACTCGAAACAGTTCCCGAACGAGTTTGGGGCCATCGCCCAGGTACTTCTGAATAAGTTCAGAGCCAACCACTCGCAGGAAAGTGGCTGAGGTTTGGTTCGCTACTGCTTTGGCTAATAAGGTTTTACCTATTTTAGATTAAAAAAGAAAAAGGGGAAAAAACCTTAAGTGCGGTTTTAACATTGAGAATTGGTGGATCCCTCTATGAAAAGCATGTTCTCAAAGCAGACAAGGAAATTTAGAAAAACCTAAAATACATATTTTAATTATTTTTAACTGTCTTCCTAAATTCATCATGATAACATCAGAAAATGCTTTTATTGCAAGTTACTCAAAGTTGCACATAATATTCACCTGACCCCATTCAACCAGGGTTAGAGAACCAAACTCAACTCCTACAAAACTATCAGTGAGGAAAACAGACCCGGGAGCACTAGGTTTGACCGAAGGACAGAGGGTTCTTGAGCAGGCCTGCAGCGCCCCAAGGCTACCTGAGGGCGTGCCCAGGCTCTGGGCGCTGAGCCAGGACCAGCTCCTGAGGAAGCCTGAAGCTGAGCGCTGCTGGGAGTCGAGACTTCCCTGTCTGTGCGGTGCCCTCGTGGGGCGCTCCTCACTGCTCTCAGGACAGCCCTGACACTTCTCTCTGAACTGGAGAACCAGAGTCAGCAAGGGTACCCACCCTGAGGAGAGCGCGGAAGACCACCACCCTGGGACGGGGAGACCTGGGAGAGGCCCACCCTCGGGCCTGTGGGGGAGGTGGGCTGGCCGGGGACACAAAGGATTCTGGGCCAGTGGGAAGGGGGGCAGAGATCTAAGCTCTGCGCCAGTGAGCTCCTTAGGTGGGCAGCCAGCGGCAGGTTCAAATGCTTATGAAAGGGCTGGACTACTCTCTGAGGGTGTCAGTTAAGGGCGGCAGACACAGACCAAAAGGACCTCCTAAGTGGAGGAGACCTTCCAGTCCAGACGCAGCCGGGCACAGCCGCCGGGATGCTCAGGGCGCCAGGGGACCACCAAGTGCTGCTGGCCTCTCCTGAAGCCTCCTTTCCTGGGCGGTGAGACGAGAGGCCGCGGCACAGCCTCCCCGTCCCTCCCCGTGGGCGGGCCTCCACACAGACCCTCCTGGGGACACGCCTCAGTTCACGCAAATGCCCTCCCTTCCTCTGGAGTTTACAGAGCAGTGAATTTACTAAGCCCTGGACTACACAACTCACTGAGGCCAACCCAGCGCCTAATGAACCAAATATGCACATGTATTTTATCTTTATCCGTTCATTCACCTGACGCAACACTCCTTCAGTCGCCAGCGGCCCGGGAGAGTGCACGGGTCTGAGCCCCACAGGACAGCCCTCACAGCCGTGGGCCACCCCGCACCTCTGCTCCGAGCAGAGCCGGGTCAGAGTCCTCAGGGGAGGGAGCAGGCATGGGCGCTCTCTAAGGCTCCCAAGGGGATGCCAACATGCTGCCACGGTGGAGCACCCTGTTCCTATTTTTTCTTACAAACTATTTTCAATAGACTTACATTACTGTTAACATTGAAAAGTAGTATTTTACCACATACACATGTAGCACATCTGAGTAAACCACAGGAGTGCTGGGGAACTGGACATGCATTCACACCAAGCAGGCACTTTTGGGGGGGGTTGTCTCCTGGTGTTTACTTTCTACTGTGATTCCTACGACTGTTGTTAACATACTAACTCTGTGAGGTCTACAATCGTGAGCCTGAGACAGTTCACTGTCTTAGCACACCTATTAGACAGCATGATGTACTTTCACGTGATAAGTGTGTTTCCAGAGGAGCTGCTTATTCACAATGTCCAATATGTCACTTGGAGGACATTTTTAAACTAAGGATTTGAGGCCCCCTGACTCAATGGCTAAGTGTTTATAACCAGCGAATGCTGCAGCTCAAGAGACGAGCTCAGCACCTGGAAAGCGCCCAACGCA